CCTCCTTCCTCTTTATTTTATTTTATTTTATTTTATTTTATTTTATTTTTGCTCCTTTTGTGGCATCTGCCACTCCTTCACAGTTGCTGTCCATGGCATATGTTCTATATCAGAAACTAGAGCTGATGTGGTCTAGCCAATGCAATTTTCTGAATCAGCACTCCATCCGAATCTAAAGTTGACCAAAAACTGATTTGTAACTCTTTTGGTGCTAATGTTGGAGAGTGAGCACTGGTCAAAGTGGTCCCTGGTCAAAATAGCCCCCGGTCAAGTGGTCCCTAGTCAAGTGTTCTCTGGTCAACAAAAAAAAAAAGAAAGAAAGATTGGGATCCACTGTTCTATACAGACATATTAGCAGGTGCAAATTTTATCAGTGGCTATTCCAATTTTGCCTGTTGCCAAAACAAGATTACAGTTTAGGCACCAGACTAAGTTCAGTGAAGGCTATTACAAAATCAACTTGCTAAGGGCTAGAAAGGACTTCTCTTCTGTGGTTAAATAGTAAGACCTGGAGGTGTAGTCCAAAAAGTAAAATTTCCAATCTATAGCTTGTTCTCAAATATTTAAACAAGGCAGAAGGAAAGGATAAGACCTAGCTCACTGAAATAACGAAAAACAAACGGAAAGAGTTAGAACAAGAATATAAAGTTGGTATGAGTTTGTATATGTGTAAAAATATATAACAAATATAATAATTTTCTAAATCAGTTATTTAGATTAAAATAGCACTGTCCAAACTACACACAGAAGGCACATAAGATACGAATGATTGAGAAGGAAATGAATGATCAAAGTTCTCATCAGATTCTTCACACAAACAGCAATCAGACATGTTTTGATTCACAGTCTTCGCCAATGACCCATAAATGTTTCCCAATATTTCCTCCAGACAAAAAATAACACCAGAGTATAGATTTTTAGAAAATAAAAATGCTTCTTATCCTTCATTCCCCATCATGATTGAAAATCCAGTTTGACTAAGGTCCCGTTCTGCAGCATCCTTATTAATTTTGTGGAGTCAGCCCCACTCTTAGTGGGTTCTGTTTTACCCTTTCATCTTTCTTCAGACCATGAAGCACCAAAGAAAAGAGTAAACAGATATAAACATTTCATTTTATTTCATTCATTTTATTTCCCGCCTTTTCCCCAGCACTAGATTTGATGCAGCATGTGAGATCCCCTTTCCAACAAAAGCATGTATGGTCAGCTAACGTAACTAGACATATCACCTACCCCTATGATGAAGGAACCTTTAGGGAATTCCCAAACCTGAGCACTTGTTTTTAATGTAGAAAACATCGGAGGTAAAAGCAGAATGGGCTCTGCAGGGGAAACCCAGCACTGAAGGGCTCTGGCTAATGTGCCGCTCTATCAGATTAGGCTGTCAAAAAATCAAACCGCTTCCATCACTGTCCAAGGAGAGGCTCTCGCTTGTTGCTTAATGTGATCGCAGCCATGCCGTTGGCACTCCAGGGAGAGCAGGGCATTGCTACGGCAATATGCAGCAGACTGTGAGTTTTAAAATCCTATTAGGCAGGAACTAACAGTAGCAAAAAGAAAGCAGGTATCCCCTAGTGGGGATTTAAAGATGTTTAGACATAATTGGATTTTCCAAGCAGATGTCATTATTGTTAAACAGTTGCCCACTTGATATGTTCAAGTTGTTGGCTGTAATTGCTAAAATTAGCAGGTCTGTGTAGAGCAAAGGTCAGTTGGTTAACATTGTGATTTAGTATTTTATGAAGTAATTCCAAATGCTTTTATGTTTTTTTCTCCTTTTGGTTGGTTTGGTTTTTGTGGCCCAAGTGCTCTTTAAAGTCGGTGTGGGCTGTTAATAAAATAATGTCTTGTGCTGTCTGGGCAAACCGCTGACACTCAAGGGCTAAACGCATTTGAGCAAAATTGGTTTTGTGTATTTTACAGAGCTCTCCATAGGGCAAACACCTTGCATTTTGATTCAGAGCTGTTGTTGTTTTGCTGAGGACTTCTTGGCACAGGAACCAGCTGCTTCTTTTTACCACATGTTCCCTCCAGACTATCCAGAGATTTGAAACGCTTGTATGAAACAATGTTAAGAAGACAGTGCCCAAGACTCTTTGCTACCTGAAGCAAAGAAAAAGAAGGCACCCTGGCCATATACTGAAGCTGGTTGGACTGACAGTTGATTTTTTACTTCACAACTGGTGGTAGAGTAGTGTCTCTTACCATGAGAAATAACTGTGATACCAAAAATGTTAGTCTATGAACCATTTATTGGCTATTGGCTACTGGTCTAAAGTGAATTTCCAGGAAAGAAAGTGTGGCCTCTCGATCTTCGCGGAAGTTTCATTCCAAGACCTCCTATGGATACCAAAATCCCATTATATACAACAGCATAGCAAAATGCTGTCCCTTATATAAAATGGCAAGATAAAGTTTGCTTTTTGCACTTTTTACAAAATATTTTCAAGCCATAGATGGTTGAATCAGTGGACGCAGAATCCAGGGAAATGGAGAGTGGATTGTATTCCATGGACACAAATGTGGTCCCAGCCCCTGGCACATTGAGGTGGGGGGAAACTATGATGATCCCTTAAAAAGGGATGCCTTCAGAAGCACTGGTTTAGATAACCCAGAGCGGACTGTGTGTATACTGTCATGTTTATAAGATACAGATAAAAAGCTGCCATCATTGCCCATGATCTGCTTCCTAGGGCAATTGCCTTACTTTTGTTAATTGCAGAGGTTGTTAACTACCGTAGGCCTCAACTGATGTCAAATTCAGTTTTCCTGATTGCAAAACCTCCTGAAATAATTTCTGCAATTCCAATGCGCATGTTCCAGTTCCTCAAACAACCCCTGTATTTAGGGATTAGCAAGTGGACTTGTGTTGAAGGAGAGAATTGTGGTCCTAGACCCTATCTGCTTGGCATGCCTTCTCACTGTCTCTCAGCTGCATTGTCTGAATGTGGGCAGGCACTGGCTTGTCTGATTGACTCTGTTTGAGTGACATATTAGTGCAAGGATCTGCCTTTGGCATCTTTAATATTTAGGTACAGATACTTAGTGTCATGTTCTTAGATAAGAGATAACAAACTCAGTAACTGCTTCCCTTTTATTGGACATTACTGATCCAGGAGGAGATACCACTTTCCTCTGTTGGCATCTTTTTCAAATGTAGCATGTAGGTATCTTGATGTGTCAAAACTTCTGAAACCAAGCCCCATAAACCTATTGTTGTCAAATCATCATTTTGTTTAAAGACTAAGTATTGATAGGGGCTATTTCATGCATGTAGGGCCCTGGCATCTGCTAGGCTGTTGGAGTTCTAGGATATTGTTTTTTCCACCTGGAAAGTTAATGCTAGGTTTTTCATATTCACAGGTGGGTGGATTGAGTCTCCACATTTTACTGTTATGGGAAAGGAAGTTCTCTTTCTCTTTCTCTTATATTGACCATGGGAAATCTTTATGGCCTCAATACCTGTGTGTTGTGACCTAATGTAAGGGAAAACCATGTATTGACTTAAGAGTTTATAACTAAAATCTCTCCCCCCCCCATGAAATGTGTAACATAAATAATATACTGCACCCAGAACCAAAGAAAAATCAACAGCATAAAGCTAGATGGCTTCAGTACTTTGTGCTGAAGCTGCCATTGGTGTATCTCATCCAATATTGCCTGTTCAAGTGGGCAAGTGGTCCAGAGATGCAGTCATTTAAACTGGAAAGCCCTAGTATCAAACTAGATGCCACTGTATTCAAAATGTGGGCTTTATTACAGAGTTGTTGCTTTGTTGACACATGTAGCAAGCTCATGTATAAATCTATAAAAGCCCCCTCTCAATTTTGGTACAGTTCTAGAATTTAATACTGTCACAATATGGAATCTCTGGTTTCTATCACTAGATGAAGCTGACTCTCTGAACACTTAATGTAGTACACCAGTTCTTCTACGTCAGTGGTTCTCAGCCTGTGGGTTCCCAGGTGTTTTGGCCTACAACTCCCAGAAACCCTAGCCAGTTTACCAGCTGTAAGGATTTCTGGGAGTTGAAGCCCAAAACATCTGGGGACTCATAGTTTGAGAACCACTGTTCTAGGTAAAGGATCCTGATCCATATTTCTATTAAGCTGAGAAACAAGATTGATCTAACTATAGTTGAGGTCAAGAATCTTTCATTTTCCAGTTGTTTTGGACTACAGCTTCAACAATCCCTTACCATGGGCTTGAGCTTCCTGAGAAGTGAAGCTCAAAACATTTGCAGGACAAAAGGCTTCCTATCACAGATCTAAGCACAGGCGTGTTATAAAATTAGATGAAAATATATGATTATGTTTAGGATAAGACTACAGAGTAAATTCAAATAATTCAGGTTTCATTGAATTCTTTATCAATTCCCAGTGCTGCCATTATTGACAGCATCATAGTAATCTTCCATGTGATGTCCTGTTGTTGATATACAAATATAAATGATATACAGTTATAAATGTTTTTGGTAGACCTAATTTTTAAAAGGCTTAGATCTTCAGAGTCAGGCTATTTCTATCACTGAATCCACCAACTCTACCTGTATAGGTCTCCAAAAGTATTGCATTAACCTCCTCATCTGAATTTGGACCTTGGTTCTGTAACAAATATCTTTCTGCTAAAATTTTATATGTTACTTGTGTTCAAGGATACACCACAGTTATCTCAACCCTTTAAGCTAAAGTACTCAATAGTATCTTTATTAAAATAATACTGAATTTACAAGATTCCAGCATTTTTGTCTAGAAGATTACAAGTTAACGTGTAAATCCATAGGTTGTATACACTATGTGGCTACATTGGCTTTCTCAGTACAAATTACAGGTTACTCAAAGGAAACCATACACCTGTCAAGTAATTCAGACATCATTACCAAATATCTTGAACTCAGTGAAGGAGTTTATTAGATGGATTCCGTTTTTACGGAGCAAGAGTCCATTTAAGATTGTTCAAGCAATTGTCTATTGCTTATTGAGCAGACATGAGCTGAGTTGTTAGCATTTCAACTGTTCTCTTCCATTTACTCTTATGGACTTCAGTTGACCATCCTCCTCGATTTCAATTCTTTCTTGTCCATTTTCAACAATTTTCCGTGTGGTGATTCTTCGCCCATTGATCACTTCAGTAGATGTTGAAACAGATCTGAAGTTCTGTGCTCCACTGCTGTCATCTCCAAAGGATCTACAGGAGAACATTGTGTGCAGGCCAGGCCCAAATGAGTTGAATCCAAAGTTGGCAAAGGCACCAAGTCCAGAAAAGAGACCTAAAGGCCCACTTCTGGTCTCCCCTCCATTATTGTCATCATCAAATTGGTTGTCCCAGAAGTCATTGGCAAAGATGTCCATTCCTCCAAAAAACTCCCTGAAGATCTCCTCAGGACTACGGAAAACAAAGTCAAAATCGAATGGACTGTGGGGGTGGCCTCCAGTTGTTCCTCTCCCTCTATACCTTGGTTCTTTGGGTGGCCTGTCATAGACAGAACGCTTCATAGGATCTGAGAGAACTTCATAGGCCTCAGCAACTGCTTTAAATTTCTTCTCAGCTTCTTCCTTGTTATAAGGATTCTTGTCCGGATGCCACTTTAATGCCAGCTTGCGGTAGGCCTTCTTAATGTCTTCTTGCGAGGCATTTTGATGCAGTCCTAGGACTTCGTAGTAATTAACCATCCCAAAGAGAAAGGTGGATCAACTTGGAGACTGTTGGGTTGGTTTTCCTTGGGGACGCAAGGTCCTTTGCAGTTTGGATCCAGTGGATCCAGTTGTTTTGGATGAGGCACTTCTTTCCTCACAGCCCAATGGTAATGGTTTTGGAGCCAAAGGGAAAGAGAAAGGCTGCTTGCTGATATTGTTTGATTTCAAGGCACTTGCTGCTGGGTCCTATTGTGAGGTCAGAAACATCCCAACCAATCAGGGTGTAGCAAATACTGGTTCACAGGATATAGTCCCTCAGTCCTATTGGCTGGAATCTTGTGCAAATTAACTTCTTTGAAAGGTCATATTTCACAACTATGATGCAACTTATTGCTAATGCCTGGTATCGCTTTCAGAGGAAGAATTTATCTCTTCAGACCTTTGCAGCCAATTAAAATATTGCAAAAGCAAATATGGCAGCGCTAGTAAACCTGGTGTCCTGAAGATGTTTGGAGTACAAGTACTATTAGGCCTAGCCAATATAGTTTAGGGTAAGGGGTTAATGTGAGCTGTAGTCCAGAACACTTGCTATTCCCACAGTAGCCTGAAGCTGGTAAAAAGAACTTATTTCTCCTTCTCCATATATAAATGATAAATATCCTTGTTCCTAAAGGAGTAGCTGTGCTCTAAAAGGCAGCCACATTTCTGTTTGCAAAGAAGCAAAGGATGGTGCCAGATCATTTAAACCACATGTATCAAACTGAAGGCCTGTGAGTCAAATGTGGCCGGCCATGTCATGCTTTGTGGTTCTCCAGATACTGGACAGCAACTCTTGCATTCCTCCTCCTGAAACATGACTAGAGCTGATGGGATTTAAGAGTCATAGAATCATAGAATCATAGAGTTGGAGGAGACCACATGGGCCATCTAGTCCAACCCCATGCCAGGTAGGAAATGCACAATCAAGGTATCCCTGACAGATGGCCATCCAGCCTCTGTTCAAAGGTTTCCAAGGAAGGAGCTTCCACAACACTCCGTTTGTGATATAGTAACCTCTGGAAGGCTGCAGTTTGTTCTGTTTATTTTGGATTAGTGAGGCTTGGTTTTAGATACAAGGGTTTTAGATATGATGTGTGACTTTAAAATGTCCTTTAGTCTTTCTCCAACCTCAGGGCCACAATTGCTGTTGGGTTGCAGTTTCATTATCCCCAGTCTGCATAGTGGATAATCAAAATCGATGGGCGTTGTCATCCAATAACACCTATGGACCCAAACTGGATAAAAAGAGGACCACCCATAGATTCACCTGCCCTTTGAAGGCAACCAAATGGCTGACGTGGCCCTCAATGAAAATGAGTTTGACACCATTAATGTAAATCCTTATATATTGATGGGATGGAGTGCTAAATGTGTTTCATCCTACAACCTTGGTACCAGTTCAGCTCTCCTGCTTGGAAGTACGAAGAGCGTGTCTTCCTAAGTAATCTATCTTTCTTGTGCACAGCTTTCTATGAAGGTATCTGTGTATTATTAATATGACCAGTGGGCTGATTGATGTCCATTTCCAAGAGTCTGCAAGAGGCATAGGATGTTATCAGCCATTTCAGGGCTGCTACTGTAAGCTAAAATGGCTTATATAGTAGAAGTGTGAATGTGTGTGTGTATATGTAAGAGAGAGAGAGAGATGGGAATGGAGGAGGAGGGCAAAAAGAAATCAAGAGTGGGACCAGTGAGAGGCCCACATGAAATAACTAGACACACAAAACTAGCTAGGCAGCCCCATCCCTAGAAACCAAGGCTTTGAAATGAGAAATGTTTTTCGTATCTTAAATCTCAAGTACAAACAATAAAAACCAGCCCAGGCTGTGTTCTTTGAAGAGAAAGTACGAGTGACCTGAGCAGTGGTTATCAGCAGCGTCATTAAGATAAACCCTTAACATGATTTAAAGCATCCGAAACTGAAGGCGGCACTTTCAGATACTAACAAAATGGCCTGACATTGGGGATGAAAATCAATAGTAATCAGATGTCACTGAAAATACTCAAAAGTGTCCCCTGACTGATGGAGGTGAGATTAGTGTAAATATTTGTATTCTAATCAGTGGCACGGGAGGGTTGGAGGCAGCCTCTCTGTCTATTTAATTAATGGAGTGGCTTTTAAAAAGGATCCTAATCATATGTGATTGTATCTGCTTATCAACATTTTTGCTAATTAGATGATATGGAGGCAGTCGTTCTGCTAATTCCCTCATCCGAACAGCATATCCTGCACAGATAAAGTGCAGTCTCTTTTTAATAAGAAACAATCATGAGACAGACTAACCATAATGGCACTTATTATCCTTGCAGCTTTTGCTCCATCTCCACCTCTCTCCTTACACAGACGTCTCCTCCAGAAGGCCAGGCGGGCAAAGTTCTTGGGGTCTTCCTCCCCCATTTGCCCTGATCCATCATATATTAAAGATGATCAGAAATGATTCCATATGATAAATATGAATGTTTCCATTGGGCTTTCTTCTCTGGCACTGTGTCCCCCATGAATAACTGCACTACTGAAGCCTTCACACAAAAGGGGGATTCACAAACCAACATCAGACCCCATGCCTGTTTTCAGTCCAAGCTGCCACATCAAAATATTTCCTCCGAGCCATCACTTCACAAGTCTCTATTTTTACAGTGGACACTTGTATGAGTCAGAGCCCGGAAAAGTTACTTTCCTGTATTTCATTCACCAGAATTCCCTCAGACAGCATGGTGATCATGTAGGTTGGGAGAATTCTGAGGAGGAAAGTGTAGGAGGTAGCGTTTTCAACCCCTCTGCCCAAACAACTAAGATTCTTTGAGGATCTGGAACTCCTTGTTCTATCAGGAAAAGCTTCTTGTTTATATTAATTATATTAGTTATTGTTGCTGTATGCCTTTAAGTAATTTTGGACCTCTAGCAACCCTAAGGTGAACATATCATGGAGTTTTCTTGGAAAGATTTCTTCAGAGACAGGTTCACTTTCCCTTAGATTTAGAGAGTATGCCTTTCCCCAAGGTTACCCAGTGGTTTCATGGTTGAGAGGGTACAAACTCTGGTCTCCAGAGTCAAAATCCAATATCTGAAGCACTCCACCAGACTGGTGTCATATATTAATTATGCACTATGCAATATTCCAAACTCTCTGAGATGTTGACCACACAGTGAGGTACTGAGATAAGAAAGACCTCCTTTCCATGTCTGTCCTTAGGAGGAATATTTGGTTTCACATTCTTTATCCCACAAGATTTCACTCCATTCATGTCTTCATCTAATGCCTTCCTCTGGTCCTAATAGGGCTACAAGCTGGGTAGATGCGGGGAATGCCGTGGATGTAGCATACCTGGAGCTACAAGCTGGGTAGATGCGGGGAATGCCGTGGATGTAGCGTACCTGGAGCTACAAGCTGGGTAGATGCGGGGAATGCCGTGGATGTAGCGTACCTGGATTTCAGTAAGGCCTTCGACAAGGTCCCCCATGACCTTCTGGCAAGGAAACTAGTCCAATGTGGGCTAGGCAAAACTACGGTGAGGTGGATCTGTAATTGGTTAAATGGACGAACCCAGAGGGTGCTCACCAATGCTTCCTCTTCATCCTGGAAAGAAGTGACGAATGGAGTGCCCGTCCTTGGCCCGGTCCTGTTCAACATCTTTATTAATGACTTAGATGAAGGGCTAGAAGGCATGATCATCAAGTTTGCAGACGACACCAAATTGGGAGGGATAGCCAATAGTCCAGAGGACAGGAGCAGGATTCAAAACGATCTTGACAGATTACAGAGATGGGCCAAAACTAACAAAATGAAGTTCAACAGTGACAAATGCAAGATACTCCACTTTGGCAGGAAAAACGAAATGCAAAGATACAGAATGGGGGACAATGCCTGGCTCGAGAGCAGTACGTGTGAAAAAGATCTTGGAGTCCTCGTGGACAACAAGTTAAACATGAGCCAACAATGTGATGTGGCGGCAAAAAAAGCCAATGGGATTTTGGCCTGCATCAATAGGAGCATAGTGTCTAGGTCCAGGGAAGTAATGCTACCCCTCTATTCTGCTTTGGTTAGACCACACCTGGAATATTGTGTCCAATTCTGGGCACCCAATTCAAGAGAGATATTGACAAGCTGGAATGTGTCCAGAGGAGGGCGACTAAAATGATCAAGGTCTGGAGAACAAGCCCTATGAGGAGCGGCTTAAAGAGCTGGGCATGTTTAGCCTGAAGAAGAGAAGGCTGAGAGGAGATATGATAGCCATGTATAAATATGTGAGAGGAAGCCACAGGGAGGAGGGAGCAAGCTTGTTTTCTGCTTCCTTGGAGACTAGGACCCGGAACAATGGCTTCAAACTACAAGAGAGGAGATTCCATCTGAACATGAGGAAGAACTTCCTGACTGTGAGAGCCGTTCAGCAGTGGAACTCTCTGCCCCGGAGTGTGGTGGAGGCTCCTTCTTTGGAAGCTTTTAAACAGAGGCTGGATGGCCATCTGTCAGAGGTGATTTGAATGCAATATTCCTGCTTCTTGGCAGGGGGTTGGACTGGATGGCCCATGAGGTCTCTTCCAACTCTTTGATTCTATGATTCTATGATTCTAAAAGGCTCATACAGATTATTATTCTTCCTACCCAGATAGAAAATTTTACAGCTAGAGAAATCTGCTGGTGCTCTTTGAAAAGAGAGGCATACATACAGGAAATGGTAAAAACTGGTCCTCTGATGACTCATGAAATGGAACTACGTTCCACCTCATAGTCTAAGATCTGCTGGGGAGGAACTGCTCTTGGTCCCACCAGCTTTGCAAATGCGGCTGGTAGGGATGAGGGACAGGGCTTTCTTGGTGATGACCCCCCCACCCCCCACCCCCTGCCTGTGGAATTCACTCCCTAGCAAAATTAGATCGGCATCCTCCCTCCTTTCTTTCAGACGTGGTTGTGGAACCAGGCTTTTGGCTAATGGATATAACGGATGGTTGTTATAATGGAAATGCCTTTATGATTGGATAACTAATGTTGTTTTAA